CCAGCCCAGCGTGTCCTCCCACAGAGACGGGGCTGAGCCCTCCCCACCGCCCCACAGCACCCAGGGCTGCTCCCCTTCTGGCACCCACCCCACACTCCAGGGGAACCCAGCACACAAGTGGAAGAACACAGACGTGAACTCCGGCACGCTCCTCTGGGAGCGCATCAACCCCGCCACCCCCCAGTGGGGACGGAGCGGGCTCCTTGCCATCCCCCTCCACAGAGTCCTTCTCTAACCAGGCCCCCACCAGCGACCTCCACGCAGGACCTCTCTCCCCTGCCAGGCTCGACCGAGCTGCCAGCGTGCCCTGCTCTGCCGCTGGCCACGCAGACATAGGGACGCCCTAAGCCCCATGCCTTACCTTCCCCACGTACAGCGGCTCCGTGCCCGTGTACTCCTCCACCACGAAGAACTGATTCCAGACCCAGCCACGCTTCACTCGCCCGGTGGCCAGCAGTGCAGGGTCCCCGGGCTGCCCTAGGCCAGGGCCCTCCACCGCAGTGCGCATGGCCCAGGCCCCCAGCTCCTGGATGGCGCAGAACAGCAGCAGCATGGTCCACGAGAAGCCCTGCAGACCCTTTGCCATTGCACTCTAGGGGGCTGCATGAGCAGTGACTTCTGGATGGGCAACTAGCATCCTTTAGGGAAGAGGAGGAGGAGGAGAGTCCATACTAGCGGCGTGGGGCTCACCGGTCAGCACAGAGCATTCCCATCCCTGCTGCATGCCGTGTCCCACAGCTGGAACACTCCTGTCCCAGCAGGCTGGAGTCACATCTGTGACAACAGGCGCCCTGGTGCGCCCGCTGCTAGCACGGGAGCGGTCAGTGCTGGTGCCTCGCAGGCTGCTCCTGGGTCTCCAGAGAAGAGTCTGGCAGCTGGCATCTGTCCCTGGGGACAGAGCTGCACGGCTCCGTGCTCAGCTGCTGCCGGTCTCTCACAGCCTGCTGCCCACCCCGCCAGCAAGCAAGGAGCTCCGCAGTGGTGCGCGGGGCACGGGCACCCACGGTCGTCATTCACAGGAAGCAGTGGGAAGCTTTTCCACATACGGTTTCACAGGATGAGCTGCTGTGGCCAACGTCCGCCTGTCCTGCGGTGGCCCCGGACTACTGCACGAGGGGTCTGGCAGCGCAGGCACATGTGCCGCACACTCAGGTCACAAGCCCATTTGTAACTCCAGTCTGCACGGGGGGGACATCCCAGCACCTGGCGAAGGGTCCTTTGCCCAGCTGATGCCGGTCACTTCCATCCTCTGCTGGCTCATGCAGGGAGGCGCAGGGAAGCCGGCGGCATCCCCGGGAGCCTGGAAAAGGCCAAGGTGTTAGTGCTGGTGTGAAAGCAGGGCTCCATGCCCCCACCGCCCTTGGTCAGTATCCCCCACCCTGCCCTGCCCCGGGTGCCCCACCGCAGAGAGTCCAGAGCCACGGGTCCTGCTAGAGCAGGGACCCTGGAAAGGAGGGCAGCGAATGGCAGAGCTCTCATCACTACGCACACTTGCTCCAGCAGGGACTCCGGGACCAAGGAGCCCTGCTGTTCCCCCACGGAAGGGGAACAGGACCACGCTCCGCACAGTCTCTCAACAGTCCTAGCAGTTCAGCACAGGGGCAGCTGGCAAGTATTTCCCAAAGCACCCAGTTTACTGCTGTTGCTTCTGCGTTTGCCTGCCCAGACAAACACTTAGAGAGAAGCACGCGGCATTGGCGCCAGGCATTACTGCATGCTGCCTGCTGATGGTTCACAAGTAGCGTGTCGTGCAACGTGCACAAATCCATTCATACACAAGGGCTCACACTCGTGTTCCACCGCACGCACAGCCAGGAGCACTCACGGAGATGGGCACGCTCTTTTGTCCGTACCTGTGCATCGTTTGGGTGCGCACATGCGTTTTCCTATCCACATACACACGCTATATTCCACACACACGCACATATCAGCTGTTGCACGTGCAAGCCCTGTGCACTTCACGCTCCAAGGAGCACAGGGTCTCCAGTGTATTTTTCTGTTGGCAATCGTGGTGCAGAACCACTAACATTCCTCCCCACCCCTCCTCCCCGCCAGACCGTTGGTTATTAAGACCTCTCCACACCGGCTGTGTGAGGTGTTGGCAGGTGGCTGCACCCCCCC